TAATCCCATCCCGACCCTCATTATTAACCTTCCCTCTATAATTCCCAGCTTAATTGACAGCAACCGAAGTGTCACTAGAGTAGAACCATCTGCAGCCACCATCCCACCGCACCTATCGGACGCCTATCGGCAGAAGTCCCTTATAAGGCCACGCTATCCCGTTTCCATGGCGATATTCAACGTTCGCACTGTAAGACAAACAAGTCAACAGGCTACACTCGCCCGCACTTTGGCACACTGGGTATTGATGTGTGTTGCGTGTCCGAAACTAGGATCAATGACACTAACGGGGTTATTGAATTAACTGCACCCGGCTTATCCTCTCGTTATTGGTTGTACGCATCCGGAGACGCCGATGCAGCACTCACGGGTCAAGCTGGTGTAGATATCATTCTAACCTCCAAGGCTGGACCATCGTTGGTTGATTGGATTCCGATGAACATCCGTTTATGTGCAGCCCGTTTGACGACATCAGCTAAGGTGAATTCGCGAAGTAAAACAAAACGCTGTTTGTTTGTGATTTCCGTTTCTGTTCCAACTGAGTGCAGTTCTAATGCTGTCAAGGACACATTTTATCACGACCCTAACGCCCTACTACGCAGTGCTACTAGTACAGATACTATATTACGTGCAGGAGATATGAGCGCACAAGTATGGCCTCTGAGCTCTTCAGAAGCTCAGCTGTGTGGTAATTATGGGCTTAACTCCGAACGGACTGACAACGGTGAGCGTCTGCTGCAACTGTGTGCGGAGCACCAGTTGTTTCTTAATAGCACTGCTTTTAGACACAGTGGGTGCCGAAGTGCCACTTGGCGTCCTCTTGTAGCTGGCCAACGATGGACCCAAATTGACCACATAGCCATTGGTCACAGATGGCGGTGTTCCATCCTGGATTGCTACTCGTACTGGAGTACCTGTATCGACTCTGATCATGCCTTGGTACTCTGTCCTTTCTCCATGAACTTTACCGAGAGGTGCACTAAGCTTGATTTGGCAGCGGGAAATGAAGTCACTGACAACCAAACTGGGTGCCGTTGGTCCGTCTCGCCTTCCGGGTTGGAGTCCACGTGACTTGCCTTATGCTTGGCTCAGGACTTTACAGAACTTGACTCGCAACCGACACTAGTGGCGCGTCTGCTGCCGTCTCCTAATCGGATTGCCTGTTTAAAGTGTGTTTGGTCCTGAGTTATCTGGGGGGGGGGGTAATGGCTGATTATGACGCGGGGCAGTGAAAGCCGCAAGGAAGCTGTCTCGCCGATGCCGCCTTTTCTTTGCACGATAGCCAGCTGTTTGTGACGGTATGTTGTCTACACAGGGTGTATGCGCCTTGACACTGAATGTTTCCTTAGGGCATTGAGATTTTCAGGTAAGTCCCCCTTCTCTCCCTCTTCTTATTCTTTATTTCATAGATCATCATGCTTGTATGGCAGCGAAGTATCAGTTCAAATGGCTGATGTACTGTTGTTGTTGTTGTTGATGATGATGATGGCATGAGCTTCGCCCCATCGTAGTGTAAAGTGCTGCTCAAGCTTTGGCACTCACCTGCTCCCGTGCTCACTTTCGAAGGTACACAACTTGAACAGGTAGATAGTTTTGTCTACCTTAGGAGCTGTTTCTGCGAATAAGTTTCTCTTCGAATCGCTAAAACCCGATCAGCATTTGTCAATCTGATGCACTTGTGGCATCGTCGCGACGTCTCATTCTCGCTAAAGGGCCGCGTTTACAGCGCATCTGTTCACTCACTGTTGTTGTGTGGGAGCGAGTCCTGTCCGATTCCCGTGGAAGACATGCGTCGTCTTTCTGCCTTCGAAAACTGTTGCTTAAGGAGGATTGCTCCTGTTTGGTGGCAACATCGAGTTAACAGTTCGACGTCGCATCTTGGGGGATGCGAGTATTCCCTTCAACCAACTGGTTTTGCTGCGCCAGTGGAGATGGCTCGGTCACGTCCTACGCATGGCACCTGAGCGTCTACCGCGTCGCGCTCTATACGCTCGTCAAGGACCTGGCTGGTGGCGACCGCGTGGTGGTCAGCATTCCACTTGGCGACAACACATGAAGTCGCTGACGTCGTGTCTAGCCGCTGTTGGATCCGTACGCCTTCCACGATAAGGACCCAAAGATGAGCAGTGCCAACGGCTTAACGCTCTTGAAGACATGGCCCGCAACCGGAATCAGTAGAAAAATTATGTACAGAACTGTATTAATTCACATGTTTGAAAATGACAAAAAGGAGAAAAATCGGCGTGTGAAAAAAAACTAAAATATTTTGTTATATTTTTTGTCAAAATGTTCTTTTCTTCTTGCGGCATAGTAGCTGAAGTGTGTTGCTCACCTTTAACCACCATACTACGATGATTATGATGCGATGACCTTCCCTTATCCGCTAATCTCCATGGCTTTTGTTGGCTCTATGTCTAATTGCTAGACTGTTGAGATTACATGGTTGGCGGCATCCGGTTTCGGATTTGCCTGTCACTGTGGCCAGCCACAGGACGCCTGCGCCTACAGAGGGACCATGGGTGGCTTGTGCTGCATCACCCACAGCTCCAACCACACACCCATATTCAGTGTAAACCCGAAGGAATAAGACTGGGAGGCATGTGGATGGGAGCTACGTTTCATCAAAGGAGCCGGTCCACACTCCTTCACAAGCAAGCACAAGCACGCTGTGTTTGGGGAATCAAGCGCGGTGGCTGGACCGTAGTCCGCACCACACTGACTGCATGGAACAACTCTTAGAGCCTCGCACAGCCACAAGGACCGTGCACCCCGTCCTCTCTAGCAACGACCATCTGTCTCCTGGGGCCAGTATGGTTGAGGTGGTGGGTAATAGACAGGTAGGCACCTTGTCAACGTTCACATAAGCGCAGTCGCACCGGGGATGTCAAACAACAGTCAATCATTTGAAATGATATTATCGGTTAAAATATATCTGTTAAAGCATACAGTTATGCCAACATGACTTCGTCAAATTAGCATATGAAGTAACTTAGTTAGCAACACACCCGTGATAAGTGCAAATTGTCCACAAATTACTCAAAAATGCTACAAACGCAATAAAGTTAACGAAGATCACCACAGTTATCGTAAGCAGCATGTGCAAGTTAGTGGTAGATTATTCAGGTAAGCAGGACAAACCAAATAAAGTGGAATGAAATTTATCAAGTTTTAAAAGTCCAAGTTTAATGGTGTGTTGGTTTAGCGATGAAGAAGCATCATAAATGCAACGTCAGCCTGAGCATGGCGCATGTGGCACAGCATGCACACATACATTAAACGTTACCTGAAGTTGAGACACACACCAGCCAAAAAATCGTGATACAAAACATTATAGAATACGATATATGTTTCCGATTGTGTTACTGAGGCAAATACCTCAGTGGCGTTGGTGCTGTGAGTTCCTTTGTCGCACCTCATCCTTCTTACCCTACCCCTCCAAGCACGATCTCATTATTTAGCCTTATATAATTTTGCATAGTATTTTTTTGATGCACAGTAGCCGGCTGGTAGCTTACTGGAACGACGCCTATTCGTTACCGGTAGCTCAGCTGGCTTGTATTTGTTGCATTTTCCCCTCTTTTTTGTATATTGCGGCACAGTAGCTGAGGTGTTTCCCCACCTCTAGCTAACCTGTATACTGATGATGATGATGATGATGACGGCAAAGTACCGGGATATGTTAAGGATTCGGTTTTATGGAAACGGAAGTCATCTCGTTTCCAATTCCCAATCTGGAGGAACAGGAGACTAAGTTTGATATCTAACCATCGACAAACCTGGTAGCGGCAGTTCTCAAGGGATCCGGGGACGTTAACCATTATGGCTACATAGGTTGAAGTGGTACGAAATCCGTCGCAGCACCTTATGATCCAGTCACGTTGCGACGGGCATCAAACAGTTCCCTCACAAGCTCGACCTGAGTACCAGCACAGTAAGACTGGAGGAAAATGTTGTATCCATGATGACATACATGCCACATGTGGAATACGCAATACAGGTCTGGCGGCCATAGATGAGGAGAGATCTCACCGCCTTGGAGATACCTCAAAGCCAGCCAATTCAAAATATCAAGAGTCTGTATAATTTACCGTATGAACATATGCTTCAATTGCTCGGGGTCTTCAGCCGACGGTATCGGCGATTGTGCGGGGACCACATTTTGACGTACCAAATTTTGAGAGATCCCAACCACACGTGCCGCTTCTTACTAAAGCTCAACCACAACAGCAATTTGTGAGGCCATCATCTCAAATTGGCAGAGCAGTAGTCTTTTGTAATGCCGTCGGAAATTCTTTTCTGTGCGCGTTTGCAGAACGTGGAGTGCCCTACCGGAATCTGTCATATGTGCTCCTACGTTAGCAGAGTTCCAAGCCCGAGTTGACCGTACACTTATTTCGCTGCATCATATTACATTACCCATTACCCATGGATAAACACAAGTGTCTGTAAGCGATTTCACTGGCAGTCAAAACCCAGATTTCCCTCTACGTTTTTCACCTCCTGTATGCGTACACCAGGAGGAGGCACGATTTTTACCAATATCCTATTTGTCGTCATTTCTTACAGTCTATACAACGTATACTTCAGTGAATTCACTGGTGTAAACCCAATTTTGCTAACAATTTTTCATATTTTGAAGTTTCACCATAACCATCCTACGGGACCTGGTAAGCCACGTATAAAACCATAGTTCCATTGTTAGAAGATTTGATGCATGCGACCAGGTGCCCGTTTACCTAATGCACGTAAACAGAGCCAGATGCAAGTTATACGGAATAAATGCTGTTTATGGATGTGCCTTAGGCATAGCGATCCCCCGGATGCATGTAGATGAGGATACATCTGTTGGTTTTCAGCTGTCCCCAAGCACATTAATGTCAGATACCCGTTTGCTGCCCATTTAGCATGACGCTCATGCGTTCACAGTTCAGCACTTTCATTGTCTTGCCACGTCTAGAACCAATATTACCAAATCTAACTTTCTTCTTATGGCTGTCTAGGGTGCTGGTGATTGTTTCATCGGGGCTCTATCGTTCTTCATTGCTCGTTACCCGCAACTGAGTGTCATCGAACGTCTTCGCCGTGCGGTGTGGGTTGCCAGCCAGTCCGTTCGTAGAGAAGGCACACAGTCCAGTTACCCAAACAGAAATGAGCTGCCCTCAGAGTTGTTCGAGACATCTACTTTCACCTGGCCTAACGTCCCAATCTAAAAGATGCCCACACTTGATTGAACTATCTGTGACCTATCAACTTTGTTTTGTGATTTCCCAAATTTCTAACTTCGTTCCTTTTTTGCATTTATTTATTCGTTGATTTGCTATGAACGTTCAAACGACCAATGACTTTTCGTGCGTTTACGTTACTGCGCCCGTCATTGCAAAGGGGAGCAGCTTCGTAACATTAGCTTATCGTAAGCTACTTAATCGCATTTTGTGAGGTCTAGGTGCGGTGAAGTTGCAAACATCGTGCTGTAGCTTTCTGAACGCAGTTACGATCTTTTCCGCAATTCACACTGTGGTACTGAGTATATCCGACACACGAGACGAGCTAGCGAACTAATGAAGCAACCATATGTTAGTAAATGCCACAACCTTAGTTAAGACAGCATCCTCACTAGCATAGCGTATTTTATTAGATTGAAGCACTTCCTCTCCATCCAGTGATTCACTGTTTCTTGCTGGATGGCGCTTTGAAAAAGCCACCCCAGTCAATGGCTTTACGTCAGACATGCATTGCCCACCGACTTCTATTTGGGAAGTCAGGAAATGACGGATGATTCTCCCTCACCAGAACACAACCAATGCTAACAACAGGTGACAAACTACGGAACCAACTAGAACCATATGAAGCACGGGCGCTGAAAGTCAGATGGTTACGGAACCCCATACTTTTTGTTGATTATCACCCGCCACTACCGAACGGCTTTTGACTAAAAGAATACGAACTTGCGCAGCTACACTAACGGTTCACTGGGCCACATATATAGTGATTAACGCGATTGAAAGACGTGCACCATCTAGTTTTCAAACATGCTGGGGCTGCATGCAATCGGCCTCAGATTGCCGCTAGTGGAGCTTGCTCCTGAGATCGACCAACCCCTATTCAAGTTTGTGTCAATTTTCTACCAAAAGCTGTGGACGGTGTCCTCCAAGGTAACACCTATACGCATGATAGTCTTATGAGTGAAGCCGGTGTGGAATCTCCGAGTTGCTGATTTGTAAGAGACTATTTCACCCTTCGGGTCTTTTCAATTGGTGCGTTGTCTCCGAGAGACCCACGTTCAACCACTCTGGGTTACAGCATCCGGAATCTCCACGAAGGATTCTATAACCAGCACAATTGCTAAAAGTAGCTTATCAGATTGATCCCGATGAGAATATTCATGTAGATGCAAGCTATCAATCAAAAATGAGGTTGCCCGACGCGCTGTTTCTGTACAAGTTCCTATCATGTACTGCTCCAAAGTCGTCGGGGGATTGGTTCTGTTTGACAGCTGTATTGTTTCCGCGAGCTACACACAAACTTACAAGTGACCGGGCGCACACTGAGCAAACAACTGCCTTGGACTCAGACTGATGACTATGTATTCCAGGATCGCAAACCCATGCTCACACTATGGTCACGTTTTAAAACTCGCACGCATAGTCTCACTATTCTGGCTACAGAAAAGTGTCGGAATTCAAGGTTACTAGTGTACCAGCAAGACTGTTGAAACCTCTGCTGATTTTCACAAAAGCTGCTGATGCAAAGTCCTGACACACAGACAGCGCGAATTACGAAATGTTTGAACTGAACTAACTTAGATATTGAATAGCCAAAAGGATCGTTGTGTAGGCAGCTCGTCCTTTCAAATATTATTAGCCCCTCGCAATTCATAAGCCTTGATCAGTATTCTTGCCCACGATGGGCGCGACCGGGTGACCAGTGTTGCTAAGGTCGCGCAATCCATTTGCCACTGACTGCACTTTATGATCGTGCAGACAACAGTACTGATTGCTCGATAGATTTTATCCGCATAATACCAGCAGTTCGATCACCGCATCATAAGTCAAGATGGGTTGATTTCTGTTGGAAATAACATACTAGAGTGATTCCTGTACTTCGGAGGGAGCAAATAGTATAAATTCATAACCAGACCATTAAAGTGTCGGGTTACAGTTTTGCATTTAGGGTTGGTTTGAATTGTGAACCTCATAGAGATCATACCGGTTGAAGTTGGGCTCATCCCCTGTGTAAGTTATGTTGGGTAGCCCAAAGCAGTGCGCTTCTCGTTTTGACACATGCATCTCCGTCCGTCCACCACTACTTCATAGGACAGGGTATGGAATGCCCGATCCTACCAGTCGGTGTACTTGGGTACATTTGAAATGCACATACGGTTTCCACCTTTCACCATGGTGACCGTGAAATATCAGCTTAGCATGGTATGTCGTGCGACACATGATCAGTCGTTCCTCCTCTTTGTTACGACGCCAGTGCAGGGTTGTGGATCGATCTGAAGTCCTCATCTTGATTCCGCCCGCATTATCTCCACTCACTGGCTTCCATGAAGTGCGCAACTACAAGATTGCATATTCGTCACGCAAACTCGAAGTTAATGAAGCGACAATGCTAAACAGAATCACAATATAAACGGTTACTGACAAAAGTGGGCTTACGGCGTCCAACCTGTGTCGAACAATAAAATTGGAGAATATGGGATAATTCTACCGGATACTCCGTTTCAAGACGAATGAAACATCCTGTAGTAGTGCAGGGCGCCTATGACCGGTCGGGTAAGTAGGGAAATCGCTGCAACGCGTTATGTGGAGAACACTAGTACCACCGGGGCGAAAGATTGACAGGGGAAATACCACGAATTGCTCTAATGGGCTCGCACAGCGCTTTTGTATGATTAGCAAGGAAGTACGCCTCTGCAACATGGATAAGTGTAGGATAATACTTTATGCCAACGGTAAAAGGGTGCGCATACGCAATGAGACTATTTCCTGTGGACAATTTTACCCGGCTCCGAACAACCGCGGAGGGTAAAAGTAATTCAAGATGTCGGAAATCAGGAGCTAGCATCTCAGCCACTCGCTAAGGGATTTGGGGCGGTTTGATCCATAAGTGGTATCGCAAACTGCATCAATATTATACCCTTTCCAATCCCAATCCACCCTTCCTCAATTCAAAAACCTACATTCCATCCCAAAAAACAATCCAAACAACTAACCCCCAAATCCCCACAAATCTCGCCCCGGTGCGATCCTCCCTCCACGCTCATGCTGCTGCAATGTCCATAACTCTCAGAGTGCTAGTGTACGGCGAGTAAATTACTCTGCTCAGCTGTTGCGTACTCTCGTCCTCTCGCATAGATTCTGCTGTCGCCTTGTGCTCGGCGAACAGAGTGAGGTACTGATCACGAATGTGATGTGCTCGCCACTCAACTAAAAGATCTCTAGTTGACGTTACGCGAGTGACAAAGTAATTGCCATATCTATTGAAGAGATCATGATAAACATCCTCTCTCTCTCCTCACTCTCTCAGCTACATCCCTAGACTATATAAGAGTAGCTGTCCGAGTAAATCAGAGTTATTCTCAATCCTATGTGTTAATATGTTGTGATGCGCAACTGCTTGACGCTTGCGCCTCAGAGTGACTTGACGATTCCACACCTAAAACCGTGCTGAACATGTGTCTTGTATCGTCTCACGATACTCCCTCGCCTCTGTTGTGTGTGTGTTTTGAGTCAACAGAAGCCGAGCACAGACGTAAGTGCGAGACGATTGTTGTGTGTGTTGTGTCTGGTGTGTTAGCGCTGCTCTGCTATCCTGAGCACGTGCCCTCCTATACTGTGGGTTGCACTCATTCTCAAGATACCTCGTCTTTGTAATGTTAGATTTTTTATCCATAGACATTTCGTTTGATATATTTAAACCACTGTCTCAATCCAGTAGAATCTGATTGGCGAATTTATTCCTGTAAAACCCATCTCTCTGCACTATCACTGCCATATACGTAGCCATTGTAGCATTGTCACTGCAGTGCATCTACCGTGTCAAGCCCTTGCGATGCCACTATCTCTGCTGCCATCTGACACATATCGCCTTCGACTCTCACGCGCGCCGCTGTAACGAGTACCCAGACAATCTGGAGAAGACACGCGAATAGAGCCTGATTATGACCATCGTCGCATGGGATTATCCGGTGTAAGTGTCGTGATATATGACTCTGCAGAGAGTACACTGTAGTGTGATATCGTGACGAGTGACGCGTGACTCAGCATGACTAGATGTATACTCGAGCGTTGAGTTCTCGCGAGGGTCCGCGGTGTCTGAAGTCGTGACTGTCTCTCACACTCTCTTTCAAGAGAGTGGTCCTCAAGTCATCTGATAGTCTCAGCTGCTCAACTGTCTCGCTGTGTATCATCGTTGCTCCGTATTATGCTACTTCTGCACGTATAACTGACTCATCCGCTGTTAGAGCATGCGCTAAAATGACGTGTGTGATGGATTCGCCTAGACTGAAGCCGCCATGCGTGGAAATACGCACCCCGAAACTCGCAAAAGCATGTGCCTTGAGCGCCTCGTATGAGTGCAGCCTCATTAGAACCGTAAGACTCATACAACGCACGGCTTCTCCACTCGTCCTACGCTGTAAAAGTATGCCTCGCTTAGTTAGATAGTGTCAGTGCTGGACAGACGACACAGAGTGTTTGAATCAGCACTATCTATTGTGTAACTCAGAATTGTTCTAAGGTGGATGGTCGCCGCGCACTGGATCTCTTGGTGAGCCCAACGATTGTCAGCGAATGCTGTTCTCTAGAGAGCTCTTGAGATCGCTGCGCTCCTGATCGTCATGTCTCTTCGCTGTCTCGTGTCTGCACTGTCACGGCTCAGTCAATCGTCAACGATCTTGTGTCTTTGAGGTAGCAGCACCCCCCGTTGTGTTGCTATATCCTAATACTGTCTCTGTATTTCTCAGCAGACCTTATGACGGATTGAGCTAGCACATAGAGTTACAGATTGCTAACGCCTCGTGTCGAATGGAAGTCGTGAAGAGATGAGACAGTTCTATGCTTATGTAAGAGTGAGAGCATGCAGGCAGGTCTTGCTCTCTGTAGACGCTCCTCGCTCGCACTCGGTGTCGAACATGTTCCTTATGGAGTTGTGTGTAGCTGCTAGTATGCATCTCGTCATGTGCTGCCGAGCTCCTGTCCTCCGCTCTGGGAGACCTAGCAATCTTAAGAGCCAGTCATACTTGAGTCGTCTGCAGAGAGACTGCAGAACACTTACAGCATACGCATGTGCAGTGCTCCCTTTTAGCAATCATGGGCAGAATGCTCGTAAGCTCGAG